GATCCCGGAACCCCAAGCCCACAGACACGACCCCAAGCCAAAACCCTCGAGACTCAAAAGCCTGCAGTGCCTAATAGTGAAACTGCATCTCCTCTTCAACAAAAAAACCACCGAAACCTAAACCATCCGGACAGCTCCGAAGCCTCGTGACCCTTGTGATTCGAGTCTAGTCGTTGCCTACCCTTTCGGTGTGTTGTTCAGAACGGTTTAGGGTTTAGGGTACCCTAAACCCTAAACCTTAAAAGCGGTTTTCGCGCCTTGGCTCTGAGCCCGCTGGGGCTTTCGTTCCCGCGCTCCCCTGGGCGGTGGGCACTGAGCGTCGTGGAGGCTTCGGACAGGTTAGGGTCTGCAGCTCAGACTTCCAGGGCGGTTTTTTTGTCCGAGCCAGGCATTACAGGAACTTTTAACGGGAATAATCTGCGTCGACGCAACTACTGCAACACGTCACAAGGGGTCAGTACGAAGGTTGAACATGAAGAGCCATTTCGACCCACGTTCTGTACAGAAATACGTATGCAACATTTTGGATGTTTTTGTTGCTATGATGTACAGGACCGTTCAAGCAAACTTATCACTCTCCGAAGGCCGGATACATGGATTAAGTACCTCTCTGTGTCCTATGAGCAACAATATGTCAACTGCGGTCGGTCGTGCTGCTTGCCGGCAGCAGGGTGCTAGCATGATCCGCCAGTTACCTGGCACGGTTGGTTCTCGGTTGATGCAACAAACGTATAACACATCAGTTCATCCATACCAGCGTTCTGGCCGCTATGTCAATACAGTGATGAGCGGCCTCTTCGTATCACGGGTTGTGTGCTCCACCTCTTTCTTTCCGTGACCTAAACGGCTTTATCTTTTCAACTCCACTGTGTTCGGCACAATCTCGTCGAAACCATCTTCTAGAGGCTTAAAGACCCATGCTGCCAGCACTTGGGGATGCCTCCTCGGCCCCTTGAACACTAGCAGGTTCGAGTTTAATTTCAACCTTGAACTCCGACTTTCAGTTAATCGACCCCTGACATTGCCCAGCTCCGAATCGCAACTGCGCTCCGGTTAAGCTCTCAGCCCGTGTGATGGTGCCAGTTGGCCTGGCTGCAGCCGGAGCGAAGCGAAGCGAAGCACACACACACGTCGCCTGGCCAATCCCTTCATCCTGAAGCCACTGAGCACCACACGAAAGCCGTGGGAGGTTCCAGCAGAGCTTTCAGCACCTGGGTTTGCTTCAGTTTCTGCTTCAGGCCGTGCTCGCGATGCAAGTCAGATGCTCAGCGGCGGCCCTGCACCCGCAACAGCTAAAGACTGGGGAGCGCACGGAAGCCTGCAGGCACGGCAGTCACGGCAGTCACATGAATTTGCCACGCATGGGCTGGGAAAGAACAGTCCGTGTAGCCCCGAAGCCAAAGACGTAGAACACCAGCAAGGTCGCAGTGGCTGGCTGCTTTCTGGTAGTCTATGCACAACCCCAAGCTCTGAAACGGACTGCAGTAGCCTGGATGCACATTCTTGGACATCAGCAGCAGCAACAAAAGCAGAAAGTCGCCCCACAAGCTCTCCCCCACAGAAGGGGGACCCCCTACCCCCCTCGAGAGAGCGCCTGAAGCTCGGCCTGACCGTCCAGGACCCTCGACAACCTTAGAAAGACGAGAGACTTCTCGACGTGGTTTAGGGCCCCCATGGCTGTTTAGGCAGGATTGCGGTTTGAGGGCTTAGGCAGGGTCTGCAGTTCCAAAGACTTCATGGAGGGACTTTCGGGTTTAGGGATGAGGGCTTCTAGGTGCGGCTTGCTGAGCACGCCAAATCAGAGTTGCAGTATCGCAACGTGGTGTGAAGTTATTTGCTGGAAAGCTGGGTCTCGCTGGCAATGAGCCTGCCAGCAGCAGAAAATCCAAGTGGCTTCAGGATCAAAGTTTGGCAGCCGGAGCTTAGCTACACATGACTCTACTACGAGATCCTGCAGGGTGCAACACAACAAGGATCAAAATGCAAACACATTCAGAGCTTTAAGGCTCCTATGGGGCGAGTGCAAGCCTTGAGGCTCCACCAAGACTCTTCTGCAAGACTGCTCTAGGATCAAACGAGGCAGGATCCACCCTGAAACCCTCAAGCACAACTGAACCAAGACTGAGAACATCCAATTTGTGAGACTCTCGGAGTCAGATCACGGACGGATTTGCATGCTGTCGATGCCCTTTGCTGAATACTGGCAATCAGCATAACCATAGTCAACATCTCCATTATCACCTTCAGCTGCGTCAAACACAGAACTAAATCCTTGCATGAAGAAGCTGCCCAACACACCGTCACAGATGAGCAGGAGACCACGGCATAAATGCATGAAAAATAGCTTTCCGAGAGCAAACTGTTTGCCCCTTGCCATGTAAGCTGACGCAGTTGAACATGTGCCATGCAGTCGCGCATACTTCAGCCATGGGGGAAGCCCGAAAGGCAAGCCTGCGGGCACCAAAGGGCCATAAAGGTAGCCAGGCGTCTTCATCTCTGATGCGCTAGATGGGAATCTTGTCTTGGTCAGCCGAGGAACTGCTTGTGGATGCCTGCCAGATCTTCTCGAAGCTCCCGCACCTTGGCGATGCTGTGTCTAAAAAGGCAGAACATGTCCATAAAGCTCTTGACACTCCTAAGATAAACCCTAGCTAAATGTAAACCCTGAACCCTAAGCCCTGAGCCTTAAACCAGCCTGATCCCTACGCTGTAAACCCGAAACGCCCAAAACCCTGAACCCAAAAATGGCCGAGTCTGTGCCCCGCACGCCCTCTCCGGGAGCCTCTCCAGCTTTGGGACCTCTGGAACAGACCCGTAGCTCAGGGGAATTCGCAGTCGGGTTGCTAAAAGAGTGAGGCATATCATCATAGTTGACAAAACTTGAAGTGGCCGGAGCCTGGTTTCTCCAGCCTCTTCTGCCACGCAAGTGAACGGCGATTAAAGCACACACTTTCGAGCTCAACCCAAGCCACGCACATAAGCGCAAAGACTCATCCGAAGTGTCCGAGACCCGCTGAACCGGTGAGTCTTTTCACCTCTGTTCACCTCTTTACGTCGGAATCGTGCTAGGAAGAGCCGCAAAGGAATCACAAGACTCCAAACACCTAACCACAGGGCTGCAGCAATGCAGAAACCAAAATGGGGCCAAGAGCATAGGGCTGGTCGAGCGTTTGAATGTCAAGCCCATGCCACATCAGATCCGTAAAACATGAAGCTAAACAACCTGACGTCTGTTCCAACCCCCCCCCGATCCCTTCACCATCTGAGACCTCCACTGTCTCAGAATCCACTTCAGCACTCCTCCTACAGAAGCAGAGCTCCTAACTGCAGCCATGCGATACTGGGCCCACGGCTTCGATCCCGTGCATCCAGGACCAGAGCTGACTTCTGAGCCCTCGGGGCAGGATCAGCACCAAGAAAGCAGACAGAAATCAGAAGCATCATGACCATGAGAAGCATCATCAGCGTAGGCAGAAAGCAGCTGCTGCTGCTACTGCTGCGACGCCGGTAAGGTCACCATTCCTACCACTACATACCACTTCTCGCATGTTGTTTGTCGGCCCCTGCTCACCATCAACTACACACCACCGCAACATGTACAGATCTGAATGCAGTCTGCGGCCCTGAACTCACTGTCAGCCCTGGCCATTGCCGGCGAAGCTGCGTGCAAACTGGCCAGCAAATTCCTGCGGCGCATCGGCACATCGTCACTGTCAGATACAGATGGACAAGGGGGTTTTTCGAGGATCGACGTGGTCGTGCCCGAAGCCCCGAAGCCCCCAAAACCGGCCCACTTGCGGTCTTGGGCGATCTTGCGGCCGATCACGCGGCGACGGCATGGCAGACATGCAGGAAGCTCCACTCCCCCAGCCCCGACTATTGTGCCTGTGGGCTCGGGGCTGTATTTTCGGAGAAACTACTTCTCGCTGTCCAACAGAAACGAACTTCTCGGCATTAACTGCTGGGAGCCTTGCCAACCGACAACAGACTCTTCCTCAAGGGGTACATTGCGGCAGGCTTTGCGATGGAAGCATCGTCCGTCCCATACTTGGAGGCTTTCAGCACGCAGCTTAAAGGAACAGCTTGTGGTTGTCGCCACGACGCTGCGAGCCGCTAGTTTCGGTTGGCGTTGATAGTCACCATATCAAACTCTTACAAATCGGACGGCCGTCAGCCTGTACTGGAAGACAAGAAGATGGAACCGACCAGCTGATGCAGCGGGCTATACCGCTTCTAGTGCTTACACCACCCTGCCTGGCGGCGCCTTTTCGGGTGTCGGCCTTGGTGTTCCGCGACATGAACTACATCTGCCAACAGCACGACAACTGAACCTAAGCCTTAAGCTCCTAAGGGCCCACAACTGAAATATGTTCCGAAGATTTTGGATTGAAAGTTCTGCACCCCAAACATTCCCAAACCCCAAAACTCAGCAAAAGGTCAGACTAGTATAGTGACCCCAAGTTCGCACAGTCGTAACAGCACTCCCCGTGAGCCGGACACCCCACATCTCTCCTCGAAACTCTGAACCGCCTGCTAAGCTCAACCGAGGAAGCTGCTTCGGCCTACCGGCTAGCAGCCACCAAGCGAAGAGGGCAAGAGCACGCTGCTTTACCTGGGTGAGACGAATTCTCACATAATGTGGCGGCTAGCAGTTCGGCAGTGTGCCCGACCTTGTCTACCAGAGAAGTCCTAGGTCCTAGGCCATGCCCTTCTCAAGTCCTGCCCAAATAGTCCAAGCCCGCCCTAGACAATACACGCACCCTGCACTTGGCATCACGACCCGCGAAGGCCCGAAGCCAAGCATCATCAGGACCTGTGTTTGGAATGCGACGTCCGGCTTGGGTTCGTGACTGGTGGGTCGGGTCTGAAGATTTAAAGCCCAACCTCGGCACCTAAAGCCTAAGCTTTCCAGCCTCCGGAGAGGCGCAAGGCCTGTCTATCGGCTTCTCAGATGAATCAGCGCTTCGTGACGGTGAAACACGGACAACATGAAAGAGAGTTTAACTGCTGGCAACCCGAACACATCTCAAAAGGCAGTGCTCAACACTGGAGGGGGGTCTGTAGCAAGGCGCAACAAGAAGATGGATGGAAAAAACAACCATCGCCATCTCTGGCAGCTTCGGGCTCACCGAATGAAGGGCCCCGACAGGGAAGCAACAGTAGAGCAGCAGCCTCAGCAAACGCGCAGGGCTCCGACTGTTACAACGCGGTGCATTCCAGGCGGGGGCCAAGATGCCAAAGAGATGCCGAAAGGCATCAAACTGTCATAGCTTTTGCATAGCGATCTATGTTCACAAGTTGTGGCATGGAGAAAATGAAGTCCAAGGGCCTGATCCAAGCCCTGCAAGACAGAATCCGAACACGGACCAACTGCCCCATGCAGACAACACGATGCTTGGGGCACTGGCACCGACACAACGCCCCCGAGCATGCCCGCCATGCACACCTGTCTAGGAACGTTTGAGCTGCACCTCGACGGAGAGCATATCAGGCTGGCCTTTGCGATCCCAGTCAAGGATGTGAAGAGGATGGGAGCACTGCCAATGACCTGCCCCAGGTCAGGTTCGTCCTTTAGAATCTTAAGGCTAAGGCGTAGATTCATTGAGGGCACGGCCAAGGCGACGAAGGTGGTGAAGACCTCCTGCCCCGCTCGACCTGGGAAGCTTGAGGGCGCCAAGGCATCCGTGCCTCGCTGCTTGCAGAGTGCCGGGCAGGATCCGCGGGACGCACGCCCAAGGCGCTCGTGTCGAAGGCCTTCAAGCGAAAGATTGAGAGACATGAGCGGGCTTGTACGGCGGAGCTCCACAAGCATGCCTGTCAAGGACACGAATGGGCTGTTGAGGTTGTCCATCACGCGCAGGAGCGCCTATACACCACAGCAGCAACTCAGGCATGTGGATCGTCGTTGAGCGAATGTGTAACAGCAGCTTTCACTCCGGACGCGTGTTGCGCTCCTTCTGCTCGTCGGGCATGAGATCTTCTACGCTTCTCCGAATCTGAGCCTGGCGAAGGTGCGAATTCTGGCACATTTCAATGAATCTCTGAAAACAGCTCGACCAAAAGTCTTTGTGCTTGTTCAAACTCGAAACCGGCGCTCTCAGCTGATGCTGGATCCCAAGTCCGAAGGGGCCTCCTAAGTCTAACGATAAGGGAACTCTAAAGCCTCGACGGCCTAAACCCTAAACTTCCCAGCTCCCTTAAGACGGCCTCCCCTCCCGGAGGTTTGGCGGCAAGGTCCGAGCTGAGGCTCCGCCTCGGAAGTAAGATTGCGGCTTTCAGCACTTTGTCTCTTGGGCAGGACCCGAGACCCGAGTGCCTACAGCGTGTCTTGAAAGATGTTGGATTTCGGAAGACATCTCAAAGTTGAAGGATTGAGGCCGAGAGAATGCGCTTGCACGAACCTTTCCTAAACACTTCATGCGAGAACTTTCCGTGCACACAGTTCTTCCGACAGTGGACCACCACTGCCCAAACGCGCCAGCTTCGCTCGTTACTTTTGGGATACTGTCTGTATCACGGCCTGTTTCGCTATAGCTCTGAGCATCACTGTCACGACCATTACCACAAAAAATCCACTGCTATTCCCGGTATTTCACGATTACCATGACGTTGTCTCTGTCCATTGCATGTTACGACAGCCGCAGCTGCCGCCACAACATGGCATCTCTGGCAACGGTGTCGCGGTGGAATGATGTCGAGAACGACGAGTCCGGGCGAACAAACTTGGGGAAATTCACTCCGACGCCTTGTTGAAGCTGACACTTCTTCATGACGGCGGTGGAGTGGGGCTTTGTGTTTGGAGCTTGGGGCTGAGGGTCTGGTGTGCAGTGCTGGACTTCGCTTTTTCCTATGTAAGGGGTCGCGACGAGCAGTTTTCCCAATGAGCCTCGCCGCCGGTATCCTGTACACTGTACACGTCCGACCTTGCCCTACACACTTCACGCAGCTAAACCACAGGCACAGGCTGAGCCCTTAGGGCACAAGCCTTCAAGCGCTGAAAACTTCAGCATCCCAGTCCAGACCCTGCGCAGCCTGCGCAGCCGCCCTTGGGAGATCACCAGGATCGCGGCGCCGAGTCTTCGACCAAATGAACGAAACGCTGCCTCCCAAACCTGAAAGATTGCAAGTTGCAGACATTGAGTCGTGGCTGACCGTGCGAGTTCAAAACACATATTTGTCCCATCAAAGATCAATAAGGCAAACACAAGATAGAACCTCCTAAGCTTCACGACCGCAACTAAGATTCCTTCATCCATTTTCATGCCTGCAAGCTTAAGCCTGCCCAAAACACTCCAGCCCAGAGGCAAAGTGGTGACGAAAGTCGGGCTCTCTCCGCCCTTGTCTGTCCACTCCTTCCAGAATTTCTCGGTGCCTCAGCTGCGGTTCGCTCGGCTTCAAGCTCTAACCCCTAAACCCGAAGCTTTCGGGATTCATGACCTGCGGAGGTTCGGCTGGGATCTCCTATGAAGGCTGCGAAAGCGAGAGCCAAACATAAAAAGCCTGCAGAAAGACCAAGAAATTACCTGAACTCTAATTCGCCCTGAAGCTCAAAGGATCGAGTTCACCAACCACGAAGGCCCAAAAGCTCCAAAATGCTGCAGGTTTCAGCCACTCTGCAGGCATTCGATTGTTCAGATCTAGAACCAGCAACTAATGTGACGATGAGTACGATAAGCATTGGGAGGGGAGGGGTGGGGTGTTAGGACTTTCGGGAAGATGCCGGAAATGTGCCGTTGGTACCGTTACAGCTTTCCGAAACGGAAGCACGGACGATTCCTTACGTCATGCACCCCTGACAGATTTACCGGTTATCAGGCAAACAAGGTGCTCAGGCTGTGTCTAGAAAATACGATCTCAGTCTCCACGCGGAGGAAACCGTTAGGATGAGTGCCCGACGAAACAGCAACCATTGATCGAGAAAAAAGACAAAATAATCTAATTAAGGGGAAAGCTGAAACTTCCGGCCCAGGAACGCAAGAGCCGCAGCATAAGTCTCTTCCCGAGCAGCATCTGCTGGCCAGAAGGCCACATCTTGCTACCCTCAGGAGGACCTCTGTGCATAATTGCAACGCACTGTGCTGGTGCTGTGGTTTCCAAATCAAGGGATTTCGCATCGGGTTCGGGAGCACTCTCTAGCTTTGGGAATCGAAGATTTCGGCATGCGTTGCAGTATTTTGGAGGCATCTGGGGCACGGCTTCCAGGTTTACAGGTTTGTAGGGGCAATGGGGTCGTGCCCGTCGGCCTGCGCGATATGATCGCAGCGCTGACATCAGCAGCTCAACATCTTCGGCGTCCTGCAGCATTGCTGGGTATTCTGTCAGTGAGCGCGATTGTCTGAAAAAGCAGTTTGAAAGCCCATGCTCCCTCCCTTCTTTCCGAAAAGGATCAAACCCCACTGCTCCGTTTAATCTGCTAAGCGCACCCGCCGACCTCGGGCAGCAGATCAGCTGCTTTTGAGACCAGCTCGCAACGATGAATGTGAGCCTGGCATGTGTCCTGGGCGTCCAGGGTTTGTGTGCAGGCTCTGCGTTGCAGGGCAGCTTAGATCAAGCTTTCAGCCTGTCAGGTGAAGCGTCTGACGGAAGCAAGCTGCTTGCTGTTTCCCGCAACAAGAAGACAACAACTCGTGTGTCCAAGACGAAGAACCTAAACTTTCAGCAGCCAAGCATCGCGAAAGAGATCTGCAAGCCTCTGAATTTGCATGCACGGGGGAGGAGTCAAAGGCTTTGATGCCCTGGGTTGTAGCTGTGACAGGGTCCAAGCGGTTAGTTGGCTGCGTGTGATGAATTGGCGCCATGGGGGGGAGGCACTTCGGATGGAAAAAGTCAGACATCGTAGTGGCTTCGTTGACAATTGTGGTCCTGCCACATCACGAGACTTAAACATGGTGTACGTTGAACCGCACAAACCAGCATTCTAAGGCAAACCGTGGGAGGGGGCAATGTGTCTGGAACATAGTTGGGGTGGGGAGGTATGGCTTGCGTTGTGGCAGGTCCTGGGAAGCAGCCGGCCGCAGCTCGTCGGACCAGATGCCGCCGTCAAAAGTCCCGGACATGGTCTGACCGTTTGGAGCTTTTCTGGCAAGGCGGCGCGTGGCACAAATGGAAGGCTCCCGTGCGTGGTCCCGCATGCAGGCCGTGCTCCCACCACCGTCCCGCCTGCTGCTGCATGCAACTTCTGTCTCCGATTCTCGGCCCTTCTAGTAACCTCTAGTCCTCTACAGTCTCTGATCATGACAGACATCCTCAAATCCTGAGACCCGACAGCGAAAGGCCAAGTGAGAGATGGAGACGCTTGCCTGTGCCAAGCTCTACAAGTCTCGGAGATCCACTGGATAGGAAGACTTAGCGCTTCAGGATCGCGTGTAAGGTTTCTGTGTAAATTTTCGCCCAGACACTCGAGGAAGCTGCAGCTGGCCTGATCCGACGGAGCTGCGCGGTACAAAAAGTAGCTGCATGACGTGCTGGGCTTGAGACTTTATGAACTCTTTGGGGTGGCTAGCAGTAGCACGAGCAGCAGCGCAAGTATTAGCAGGAGCAAGAACAGCAGGAGCAGGAGGAGGAGCAGTAGGAGCAGTTGGGGTCAGCAGCAGTAGCAGTCCTGTAGCAGTATCAGTAGCAGTAGCAGTAGCTGCAGCAGGAGCAGCAACAGTCGGCGTACCAGTGGTAGAAATGGTGGCCTGCTGATCATAACGATGACATAAGGATAATGACGAAAGCAATAAAGATATTGACAATTGCAATGACTGTGATGATATTGATGATGCAAACGATAGTGGTTATGATGATGATGACGATGATGATGAAGATGATGAAGATGATGATGAAAGTGATGCTGATGATGACGATGATGTTGATGATGATGTTGATGATGAATATGGTGATGATGATAAGAAGAAGAAGCAGGTAGAGGAGGACGACGATGACGATGATGATGGTGATGAGGAGGAGCAGAAGGAGGAGGAGGTCTAGTGACTGGGGGCAATGGCATTCATATCAGCAAGTACAGTAGAAATGCAGTAACGACAGGAAGAACTCCAATGCCACAAGAACAAGAAGAATCGCAATAGCGATAGTGACCACCGCAAAGCTAAGACAATGGGAAGGAGGAGCAGAAGAGGACAACTCCCACTACTGCATGGGAAAACCCGCTCCCTGTGGCCTCTTTCGGGGGCTCTTTCTTCTTCTTCTTGTCTTCCGGGGCTGCTCCTGTGGGAAGGAAGAGTTCGCCGCACAGCCGTATTTGGTAATCCAGATAACGAGCAGAAAGCGACAGCATACGGATGCAGATTCAAAACACAGGCACACATACATGCGCGAATGGGTTTCTAATCAAATAAGATCGCTCTCGCGGCATACCGAGAGATACGACAGATGCAGGGAATACGTGTGTGCGCGCGAAGTGTTGGTTGGGGGACGGGTTGACGGGTTGACGGTGGGTGGGTGGGTGGTCAAGGCGTTCGTTAGTTAGTCAATTTGTTAGCTAGTTTGTTTGTTTGTTTGTTAGACACACGGCCGCCTATGCACACAGTTCGGTCACAGATGAAGACGCACGAACGGATTTCCGCTTATCCTTGCGGTCGAGGGATTTGTAACCAATCGGGCTGAAAGCAAGTAAAACGAACCATCGTGGCCTCTGCAGATCATGTAAAGCTTGCGGAAAGGTGAAAGGTACTGTATGGAGCTTGCCACATTGACATTCCTTGTATACAGCATCGAATCTACGGCCAGAGTCAGCAGAAAAGAAACCCAAATCTAGCTTAGCAGTGGGACTCCTGGCCTGACTCCTGGCCTGGGTCCATGTGCTCAAACTCCAGGCCCATGCAAGTGAAGCAGCCACAGGGGTCCCAGACCTCGGGGGCGCGGCTCCTGACCGCCCTGGTGTCGTGCTGACTGGCTTTATTGTATGTGCTTCTTCCCTTTTTGGCTTTCTGAGGTTGAGCGTCGCGGGGCTTCGCTTCGAAACGTTCTCATTGCCAGGCATCGTGGCTGGAGACCCTGGAGTTGTAAGAAGCCCGAAAGTCGATCCATCGTCAGAAGAGAAAGAAGGCCTCGCTAGCGATTGAACAAAAGTGTATCTGGCTGGTTTCGTGAGGTTTGGCGCTGTAAGGCTTCAGAGCTCGGGCATGTCTAGAGAACTGTATCTTGACAATAAAGATAACAGTACCAAGAACAAGACAGCTAGTGGCAATAACAGTAGGGCCTGGCAGAGAGTTGTGCAGCCAGTTGCCTGCAGCCAGGACGCATTCTGAAATTGCCAGTACCACTCCTCGAATCAGGGAGCTGGCATGCAACAGGCTTGGCCTCGAAATCCCGAGCACCCAAGAAGCAAACCGTGGTCAAATCTTCAAAACAATCAGACTCGGGGTTCGGGCTATGCGCTTTTTCATATTGTATGCTGGAGAGAAGAGATTTCAAGTACCAGGCCAAGCCGCGTAGGACGTTGGGCATCGTGCTTTCGGAAGATGTTGGAACATGGCAAACTCTTCTCAGGTTGGGTGTCGACTAATGGCCCCGTCACACTGCTCCGCCCATCCCTTCTGTGAGCTTGTGAAATGATCTTTGGGAATCTCTCCCTGACCGTTGGGTGCTGCTTGGGACCCCTGATTTTGAGAAATTCCCAGTACAGCATGTCAAGTTCAACCCATAAACCCCGAACCACAGAGCCCACAACGGTTTGAAACTCCAAAAAACCACGGACAACTCCACAACCCCGTGCAGCAAGACCTACTAAGCTCAGTGTAAAGCTCCAGCTCCGCAGTTGAACCTAGAATCAGTGGAAAAGCTCCCAACTTCTTCAGAGTCTCATCTGAGGGCAGAAGCAGCACGCGGTCCATCTCCACGTCAGCTTCCTCTCGGAGGTACGGATTTTGGACAGGAATTTTCCCGAACCAGCAGTGTATTACTCGGTTCCTGCGTAGCTGGTATCATATGGTAGTGGTGCGGCGGAAACCGCAGTAGCGGCAGTCGCTGTGGTCGTGGTCTCGGTCGGTGGCGTCAGCAGCGGAGGTGGCGATGCTGGTAGTGTTCGTGGCGTGCGTGGTGTTCGTGGTGTCATGGAAACCGCGGCGTTCGTGGCGGACCTCGGCAACACTGCCTCCTTCTAGAATTACACCTATTTGTATGCACTGTCTAGCACAACTATTGGGCCTAGTTGGTTCCATAACTCTTTCGGATTCCTTCTTCGGCTCTCCTCCTCCTTTCTCTGCCCTTTCAACGACGATCCTCCTCCTATGTTCAAGCGTATTTCGGGTAGCCTCGAGGTCTTAAGGGTCATGGAGCCTGAGGCAACATTTAAGTGGAACATTTTGCAATGGAGGAGGGGGGGTTGAACGACGATTGGAGATGCTATGCATGCATGCGTAACGACCACTTCGTCAACTTCTTACAAGTCTTTTCGTTGTCCATCGTCGTGCGTGCTGCGTTGCTTCGCGGTAGCAGTAGCCGTGGCAGCATCAAGAGTATGATGTTTAGTTGATGATTCTTCTGCAGTGTGTACTGACGGTAGGAATGCACAGGGTTATGCAATTAACGTGACAAGCAACTGCCACTCAGACAAACTCCTGACATCAGCAACGTGGACTCCGACCCTGAAACCCCTCAGCTTGAAAGGTTCTGGGTCACGAAAGCGGGTACAGGCCTTCCAAGACGCAGGAAGTACACGTATTGTTGGGTACAGGCCTTCCAAGACGCAGGAAGTACACGTATTGTTGTTGTTCACATGAGGATTACCAATTGCCCTAAACCTGACAACCCCAAAGTTCAATTCCGGCACAAGCCGCCAAACCCCCTCTAAACCCCATCCCCTTAACCCTGAAACATGCCTCAGATGCTACAATCCAGAAGACTCCGGACTCTCCTGCAAAGGCGGCAGAAGGACACCGGTGCTGCCCCGGGCGCCCGTGTGCCCAGAGTTTCCGGCGGCCCACTCCTGCTTTGAGGGCTTCGAGCTTGGGGTCGAGCTTGCAGCTTAAGTGTAAGGTGTTGGGGATTGGGGTCTAACGGCTTAGCTTAAAGCTTCATGCTTACAGCTTGCCGTTGCAGCATGTTAGCTGTTAGCATCTGTCGGCGTGGGGCTTCTGTGGCTTTTTTTGGACTCTAGGCCTCGGATCTCGGAGTGGAATGGCTCTGCAGGTCTACTGGCCCTGTTTGCCCAAGCACCAACATGGCTCCCTTCGAAACGTCTCAAAGCTCAGCTCGAAGCCACTGCGTCGGCCGAGGAGGCTTTCTTGGGGGCCACTGAAACGGAAGCTCTCACGTGCAAAACGAACCTGGTGGTCCGTGTAGACAAGGTCCACCGTGCCAGCTGCAACATCAACATGTCGTACCTTAAAAGGAACGGAAGCAGTCTGACATCAGGAGACTGCAGCGTGACAGCGGCGATCGTCAGTTGTCAGTAGGAGCAAAGGCCCTTCGACATCCGACTTGCCCTGAGTTGCTTCACGCGGAACGAATCAGACCACTATGCGGCTGCAAAGGGAAAAGTTGGTTGTCAAGGTTCAGGGCACCGAGATTCCAGAGACCGTTGCAGTGTATCTGACAGGTCTGTGACGTGCATCATGATATGCTGTTCTACTGTGAATTCACTGTGGACTGTGCCCATGTGTATGCTGTTGGTAAGATGACCATCACCACTGCTGCTGCTGCTGCTGCCGCCGATGCGAGCTGCAACGTAACCTACGACCACGACCACCACCACCACCACCACCACCACGACAGCCACCACCACCACCACCACCACCACGACAGCCACCACCACCACCACCATCACCACCACCACCACCCTTCCCTTCCCACTGCCACAGCCAGTATCAACTCAACAAAAATCCGGCAGAGCAGCAGCAGAACAAGGTCCGAGTTTCTTCGGCGGAGTAGTGCCTCCCAGTCTTCAGGCCCAGATGGCATCCGCCACTGAAACCTTTGGTTGACGGAGCTGCGCTTCCCTTCCAAGCGGTATCGGCTAGGGTTTGGAATTATAACCTTTGCTATCGTCTGCAAAGGTGCAGAGATTCTCAGATTCAAGAGGTAGGTGGGATTCTTGACCCTCAGCCTTCAAAGCAGTTTTCACTGCCGCGCACTCAGCAACGATTCGCTCCTAACGAGTAATCAAGGGCTGGCCAGACTGAAATTCCGTATTTCTGGAGCTTCTCTTCAGAAGCCGAGAGTTCATGGCTGGTCATCACAGCGCGAGCGCGCCATTCTTTCGCCTTTTACGAAAGGTTGGTGTGATGGGACGCCCTAATGTGGCTCACACGATTTTGGGGGCTCCAGCCCTTTCCTCGCAGCTGCTCCTCTGCTGCTGCTGGAGGGCTGGAGGGCGGGGGGTACAGGGGAGGGTTTGGGATCATGTTTTTGGAATCTACTCAGACCCTGAGCGAATCTCCATTGTCTAATTGCCGAAATGCCCAACGAAATTCCAGGGTCTGATTCAATCCGCGCCGGTTTCTTATCGAAAGGATCGGCCGTACTCAAACTAATTGCTGTGGTGATCGTCAACCTAGAAGGAAGGAACATGCGCTGCAAAAGCGACTGAAGGAACTTGCATGCAAGGTCCGACCAAGCGCTGCGCTCAATCGGAATGCCCCGAAACCCTCAACCTACCCGGGCGTGCGATTTAGACTGGAAGCAGCCCGGGTACGGCAGCACCTGAATGCAACCTCACCAGCCAAGGGAATGAAGCTCTTCCAAAATGAACGGACGGAGATCCTGCCCAAGGACTGCAGAATTCGGACTTCGGCAAGTCCTTGCAGCCAAGCGACTGATGAATCTGCGGTCCGAGGTTTGGGCACGCTGGACGTACTCCTGGCAGGCTGGACTGAAGAGTTCCCTTCTCGTCGAAGGCTCGAATCACAGGGCCACTCCGTCTGAGACCTGACTTACCGGCTGGTCCTCCAAGGAAGAGGCGACGATGTTGCCAATTATGATAATGGTGATGCTGATGCTCATAGGAAGGGGATGATGATGATCATGGTGATGTTGAGGATGGTTAGAAGCAACAGCAGCATGAGCAACGGCAACACAACAAGAACCAGTGGGGTGGCATGACAGCCGGAAACGATGAGGCAGCTCCTGCTCCTTGGCCGGATTCACGGGCCCGTCTGTGAGGTCCCACTCCTGGCCGTATCGGATGGCTTCACGTTTCATCATGGTCTGTGGCGCATTGGGGGTTAAGTGGCCTAACTCCACCAAGCAACCACTTGAAAGAGGGCTCTAAAGCCTTACAAAGGTTCGATGAATCGCAATAATGTGTCTTTCGGGGTCGGAGAATTTTGAGGGCTCAAGAGAGACTGGATGTTGCGGGACCTCTCCAAAACCTAACAGTTTGGATGCAGTCGATACCTGCAAAATCTGAGCGGCCAAAAACTGTGTCCACTCCTCGACTGTTGCTGCCTTTAGACTGGGGGATTTGACGAAGTCGGCTTCGGGTGCCTATGTTAGTCTTCTTGGGGCAGCTTCCGAGCCTCGAATTCCTCAACTGTCAACTGGCAAAACGTCAGATACCAATCAGGAAGACAGTCATAAAGGATGGTACTAACCATTATCACGATCATCACAAACTCTGCCTTGAGGGCTTACTTTGGGGCTACAGGGAGGTCCCTGCAGGCCCTGCAAACTGGAAGCCAACTTTTCGCTGCATCGACCCTCTCACCAAGCTGTACAAAGGCTGAGGGGGCAGGTGACACCTTCTCCGAGCCGGGGGTTCAGGCAGGTTTTGGGGCTTTGCTTCGTGTGCAACAGACTGTCAACCTGAACCCGACACCTTGCCACCACACCCCAAGGCCAAGAGCGGGTGCTGAGCCCCTCGGGCGCTACTGCCCGTAAGGAAAAGGCAGCCATCGGCTGCCTTTAGGAAGTATGATGTTGGCTGCTGCGGCTGCTTCTGGCGTAGGGTAGCGGTAGCGTGCCGTCACTGCACCAACGGCAACAGCAGCATCCTCAGGCGAAGATGGGTAAACCGAGGCTCACCAATGAAGTCTGCGAGGACTCCACACAGGTAGTTTCGCACTGAGGGCATGGTCCGTTGAGGCAGAACTGCTTTACAACGTGCCACCCTTGCTTCCAGCTGAAGGGCACTGAGAACAGCTCTCGAAGATTGGATTCGACCGCGTCCACGTCCTTCTGCTGCGCCATGTAGAAGACGACTTCGAAAAGACTGGACGGCAGGACTGCGTAAGGTGTCACTGACACGGACCGATGAGGATCCTCCACAAGGTTCGCGGACTTGATGTCAAACTTCGAGAGCTCGAGTGCATCCAAGACATCCCGGACCAACGATCCCAAAAGCGTGCCGCGGAAGACACTATTGGCGGTCAGTGTGGAAAAGGCCACGGGAAGAGAAACCTGAAGCTTCCTGCTTTCAGCAGGCCTCTTCTGCTGCAGCGCCTTGAGGAGGTGCTGGCAGCGCTCCGCATTCCAACCGCCGAGCTCACAGCGTCGCGAGCCGCAGAAGGACGTCGCACCACCTGCTCGTGTCCCATCGAGAACCTCTGCACCCACTTCGGGGCAGGCCGGACTGCAATCACCACAACTTGCGAGAGTGCAGTTGTACCGAAAAGTCTCGCCTTTCGCAATCCCCTGAAATCCATGAGTGACCTGCACCTCGGCAACATGTTTCCGGCCACACCTGTTCCATCTATCGAAATGGCCTGCATAGTCACCAGTGCATGGATTTCCCCACCGCTCATCGTGAGCTGCCGGAGGTGCTGCACAATATTCGGACTGCTCGCCTGGCATGCCGTCGACTGGCTGGACGGAGAGGACCTTGCCTGTGAAAACGAAGGGCTGTCCGAAGAATTTTTCTGCTGGAGACGAGTAGGCCTCGTGTGCTGGGATGAAGTCTGGCACACAAGAGCACGCTCGACTGGTGCCCATGGCCGCAGCACACAGCAACAGGAAACTGCAGAAGGACATTACTGCGGCTAGGCGATACTTTCGGAACTTGGGAAGCTTGCTTGAACATGTACGCTGTCGGTACAAGCATGAAGTTTATTTGTGTCTCTATCGCAAAGTCGCTTGTGAGATCGAGGTCACACGACTGCTCTTGCACGAGTGGACAACACCCACAGAACAACCACGCTTTAAACATCGACGGTGCCCACGTCATTGACAACTTCAGCGTGACGGGGAAGAGAAAATGATGAGAAAAACGAGGATGGAGATAAGGATAAGGCGGTTACTGATGATTTTGGTATCGATGATTCTGACGACGATGGTACTGGGCATGCTCACTTAAAAAACGATCATGCGGGTCACGCTGGCGGCAGATCCCTCACATGATTCGGGCGGAATCTACGTTTACAGGGTTCTGGCCTCAACACCGAGTCTCTAGAGTTCTATCTATGCATGCATGATCGATACACCCGCGAACTTGTTTGTGTCTGAGCAAGAGTTTGTGCTTTAAAACCTGATCCCAACCCAACATACGCCGTGCACTGTGTCCAAACCGGATCCCTCGTAGAAACCGCAGACAAAATTGCACAGCCTCAACCAAAACCGCCAGCACTATCCTCCAACCTTGTATCCAAAATCTGGACACGAAAAGTCGTTGCCTCAAATCACCCGGAAACCCTGAACCATAGCCCGTGGCTCCCTACTGTAAGCCGGCTGGGAAACCGAAGCCCTAGGCTGCGTGCACGGATAACTTGCATCCAAATTTTTGCTTGCACACAGGAGTGGGACCCGCCTGGGTGCTGCAGGACACGAAGACGAAGGTTGGACTCTCGCGACGCACGCGGCACTTTGCGCCTCTGCAGGCGCTCTGACTCAGAGAAAGCAGACCCCTAGCAGGCACCGAAACTCCAACCGCCAACCCCAACACCTCCACCCCGAACCACCCAAACACTCAACTCCCAAACTCTGAGATAGCTCCTGAACCCGATATGCGCCTCTCTTCACGCTGGCTCGTGCCTGATCCTCGAAGGGCAGCCAAAGCTGAATCTAAGGAATTGCTTCTTCTCCCGAAGTTCGGGAATGCTTCGGCGGGACTAGGTTTTCAGCAGCTCGGCCTTCAAGGTCAAGTCACGGTTCAGGTCTTAGGTAGTGGTGTTGCTATGGCTGGCAGAGACTCGTTTAAACGTGGTTCTGGCAACGATTCAGGACGTCCGTGCAAGATCATCCTTGCGGGGCCCTGAGTTGAAACTCCGGTCCTAGACCTTGCAACTCCAAGACGCCAAAACCGAAGAACCTGAGGCCTCTTGACCTGAGATATTTGCACACTGTTGCCTGGTTGCAAGGGGCGAAGACATGCTCAAGGTTGCTGAGACTATGGCCGCCTTACTTCGCGAGCGATTCCCGATCCTGGTCAAAGCTGGTGTTGCTGAACAGCGGCGGGCGCGTGAGGGACTGTAGCACCTGAGTCGCGGGTTTTGGAATTTCCCGTTCTCCTTTGGCTTCAGAAGTGCACGGTGAAGCCGGAACGTCCCAAGAACTTCTCTACTCCTGGATATCTAAGACGCAGCTACGGCAGAATATGCGCTGCACCGTGCCCAAGTCTATCAGGCTCTAGCAGGGCCAACTGATGGTGTTCCCGAAGAGCGGGATCATGTGGGTAACCCGGACCAACCAGCGAAGTGAAGCCCGAATTTGTACGTCGAGCCGCGAATCAGGATTGCGATGCCTGACCCATACTCCACGCGTTAAATGCGGATTTTGCTGGGGCCTGCTGGCCTACTCGAATTCCTTCATCAAGGTCGCCAATATAGTATGAAACAAAACGAAGCTCCCCAACCCCCAAATGCTTGGAAGGTGGCTTCGTCGGCTTTGGGAAACTTGCCGAAGACCTCGCGCGCGGCACTGGCGACAGTAGGCTGTTGTGTAGCCGACTGTAGGGCGAGTGTAGACTTGGACGGATTTCTACTAAGGGTAGTGCAACACATGGTGTTGACTGAGGGTTTGCGAACACCCGATACCTTGTATAGTTGCCATCAGGATGCCTGACAGCTTTATCCCGTCTACTTACACTCTGCACAGATATTGATTGAAAAATGCGTAAAGGTTGCAGAAGTCGAAACCTCAAAGCCCCAAAGTAGCAAAGCCTGAAACCCACTCTCCTGGAAACATTGCACCCCGCCGAGCACCCAAGTTGCCCAAACCCTGCACCCCTGAATCGTTGCTGGCCCTTCCTCCTCCTGCCCGACATCGCCCTCCACTCGTGGCATCTGCAATCTTGAGCTCGAGTCATCTGGGTGCCAGACCGTTCGAGGTTTGAAGTTCTACGGGATTGCCACGGGATTCCAAGCCCTACAACGAGGAAGTGAAGACTTCTTCTTTGGGTGTCGAGCAAAACAAGCCAAAAAACTCTCACACCGAACCAACCGCTCTTTCCGAAAGCACAAGCTCGGAAAGGCCGTACCGCTTCTAGCTTGCGGTTTACATGCACGTCGGGATGCTCAAGCGCTGCAGCTGGCGCTTGGAGTCCGGTGACTCCGGGGTTCGCACGCGCAGGATCTGCCGGCTAATGTCATCCTTCACAGCGGCTTCCAGGCTTCGGTCACGGCTTCCCTTGCCTTCGGTCTTGGGGTTCACAGGTTGCTCCTCGTGAAGGCATGGCAATGTCTGGGCATGCAGGTCTTAAGTCTCCGCATCCGTTTGAGCTCAAGCTTGTGGCAAAACGAAAGGGACTGCACCCTTCCTGGTAATGACAACAGAGGTCGAGCACATCCTAATCACATAACCTGAAACAAAAGGTTCAGCTTCACGGCCCCAAGGCACAATTGAAAACGCTAAAATAAAACAAAGAAAGCATCATGTCCGATTTTCCTCGAATGCCTACTAGCTGCCTGGGCGAACAAGACGATGAATGCCAGCGAATCGGCCACAAAGCAGCGGCAGGCCTCCGGTGGCGCGCTGGTGATGGTGAGGATGGTGATGAGGATGGTGATGATGATGGTGATGATGATGATGATGATGATGATGATGATCGTAAACAGGATGAGCGTGAGGATGAGGATTGCCGGGACGAGGTTAGAGCAGAGGAGGAGGCAAGGAGGATAAGAAGGAAGAAACCTGCCAGGGCGATGATGCATATAATATGACTACCAGCGACAACGCAGCTCGTCCTCTATGACTGTGATTGTATATAGTAACGTCATACTCATTCTCATCGCAACCACCATCATTACCGGCGTCATCACCATCATCCTCATCACTGTCTTTGTCATCGCCATCTTCATCATCAGCATCTTCATCGCCATCACCATCAGCCCGGACAACATTAATTAACATCAACATCGTGATAATCGAGAGGAGAAGCATCATCAGAAGCATCCATCATGCTCATCATCATCATCACCATATTCATCATCATCAACATCGGCGTCATGGTGATCCTCGTCATCAGCAGCAGCAGCAGCAGCAGAAGCATCGACAGTTTTGTTCTCCCCTCGCCATCATAAAGATGCAGCCTGATGCGATCCATGCGCCACCAGCTGGTGAAGAACTAGAAGGTGAAGGGCCGGCACGAGAAAATACAACAAACTTGCACCCTCGCAACTCCTCATCAGCGGCCAAGCGACCAATCCCGCCGCCTGCGAATCGATGGTTCCTTTCGAACAACATCCAGGGGAACCTCAAACGGAACCTGAAATCTGGAAGCAGCCGCGTGTCTGGACACGGCTCCACAAAGTCACTGCAAAAAGCTCGCGCATGGCTTGCGCCCCGGAGACCACAAACCCAACCTATGCTGAAACACGAAAGCTGCAGTCCCTGAAGAGGTCCTTGCATCTCGCTGGTTCCGACGAGGAGATACCGCCCATCACGAAGGAGCAAGATTGCCTGCAGCTTCCTCGCAGGACTCCGCAAAGGCCGAACATGCAATTCCGTTTCGAGGATGCAACTCCACAGACGCACGGCAGTGGGCCTGGTCCAGAAGCTGTAAGTGAACCTGGAGTTCGCCAGGCACCAATGCTTGATGCTGGTTGCGTGGACAACAGCAAGACGTGCATGTCGCCAACATGTGGAAATGCCTTGTCAGCAATTGGAGTTTCCTGCTCAGGGCGTTAGCTCTCGGATTGGAGTCTGGCAGACGCTTCATGCTACAAATGCGGGAACATACTAGTATCGTTCTTAATGCTGCGAGTATTCTGAACATCGTGATCATCTTCATCATCGTTACCATTATCATCAACCGGTTTGTTCCATCGATACTTAACAATCGTGTAATTTTATCATAGTACTAGCTACAGCTCTTCTGCAGTGCTTCTACCCGCGTTAGCTTCAGTATGATCATTGTCCTATGGTCAACCTCCTCGAGCCGAAGCAGAGCCGAAACCTCCACATAGGCCAATGGCCGGCAATTCCTCAACAGAGAGCCTGACATCTGCAGCCAGTATCAACCGTACCAAAACCAGGAGAACAATAGAGCCAGGAAGTCGAGGGATTCGGTTCGCAACTCTGCGCTTCTGTTTCTGTTGAACCCTCTCTTCCTTCTGCCCGGTTAAGGAGTCGGAATGCCAGGTTGGCTGAGTGGTGGTTCGGGAGGACAGGCTGAGGGGATTCACCACCTACACCACCCTAAAACCAACCATGGTTCAGGGTTTGGGGCGATCTTTCTGAGAGCCCGAGCACATGGGCTAATGGTCGTGGCTTGGGCTTTGACGGCTTCCGTGCGAGCTCCTCCTACCCCTGAATAACAAACACGTAATTCTGCTTCCTGAACGCAACAAGAGTCCAAACGAGGAGAAAAACACATGGACAAAAGCCTAGGACATCAAAAGGATAAACGGCGTAAACTGCCGTTGACGGATTTCCAGGAAGAGCCCGACATAGCGTCTTGATCACGCAAACACCGACCATGTCACCAGCCGACATGACCAAACGATGGCACCATTATCTGTTTAGCAGGATGCTTTCTTGCGGGTCTCTGCGTCAGGGGGTCTTCGTACCATTCCGAAACCCAAGAAGCTGTGTTGGTCGTGTGGTGTAGTGTAGATGCTAGATAAGGCCAAGAACCATGCAGCGTTCAACGCCAAGACTGCCAGCACATCCTCTGGCAGCTTCGGGATGGCGCAACTGCCTGCGAAGCCGCGGCGAACCCGTAACCCCACAACCCACTATGCCAAGATTGAGAAGCACTTCCGAAACACAAACCACGAGCAGAGCCCGAAAGCCCCCGACAATACCCCACCCTGCAGACGCAACCGCAAACCCCGACACCTGCGACCCTCAACCCAAATCCCCAGACCTTCAACTCGGAGAAAACAAAAACTTGCCGTCGGGGCGGAGCCTTTGTAGCCTGGCACCGCTTCGCAGAGCCGGGGCTCCGGAGGCAAAGAACTGGCGGCGCCTCCCTCGAACGAAAGGCAGCCGGCGGATGTTTTGGGGCTTTGGATGAAAGCCAGCCAAACGAACAAGAAGCAATGGCGCAGTACTAGGGATCTAACACTACACAGCTGATAATTACAATCCAGTAGCCGTATTCAGCATACCAAAAGCCACCATGATACTGTACCTCGCTACTCTACTACAGATACGCATAAGAAGACTAAAAGTATGCAGAAAAGAGAACACTATGAATGTTGATGTTCAACTAGCCGTAGAAAACACTTTGAATGTTGATGTTCAGGGTGTGCAACTTTCGGGATTGCGCTGAAACGGAGAGTGGTGATGCTGAAAGCAGTCTGCAAGTTCGACGCTTCAAAGTTTGGGGGGGCTTCGGCATGGAAGCATTTGGGGGTAGGGATTGAAGATTCGGTAGTTGGGGCATGTGGGGCTTCGTGGTCTTTACTCCGGAATGTGAGGGCTGGCATGGTCCTGGTGGTTTGTGGCGTTGGAGGCCCTTCTGCTTTATCTGCTTGAAATCCGAAAAAACCGTCGTTTCTCTCCAGAGAGATGTGCTTGCAATGACCAGTGATTAATTAAGTATTTCACTATAAGTGTGATAGTGGTCAAAAGATATTGCGAACAAGAAAGTGGACAAGCTCCGGGGAGCACCTTCCCGGCTTGCCAAATGCGATGTCTTCTGTTCCCTATAATTCCTGGCACCTTCCCCAAGGAATGTTCAAGCGCTCTGCAGACGGCATGAGCAGCAGTCTGCAAAGAAAGAGACATCTGTGCTTGCTCGGAAATCTTCAGACATGCTTCAACCCAAGACTTATCGGGAATGCTTTCTATGAGCCTCTGCAATGAACATTGCAAGTTCCGTGGAATACCACCAGATGCTTCAATGAAATACGGCTCGTCCTGACGGTCGCGGCCGTCGGTGCGCCGTGGTAGTGCACGAGGATCTATCCCAACATCGTCCTCATGATTGTGTGGGTTTGCCTGTGATGTTCAAAACACAAGCATGGTCGAGCTACTCTTTCCAGGCCCCTGCAATCAGCCGTGCACTCAGCCATGCAGGCCTCGCGAGTGTATCCGCCGGCATTCCGCTGCAGCTCCTTACAAGGGAGCGTGGCTTCTGTACAAAAGCTAAAGCCTCGAATGACTGTTAACGGCCGTCTCGGTAGTATTCGGAGGGAAGAGCTATTATGAAGCTTTTGGGCTGGTGTGGGGTAGACTAGCAGACACAGCCGTGGCCTCGGTCGACCACTGCCGTCCCAAGCTGTCAAATATTTCGGGGTCTGTCGAGTAGGCCACGGATCATCGCCTATCGTAAATGCGTCCGGAAACATGTGGCTTGCGTGCTCTAGGATTTTGCAGGATGATGATGATGATGGTGGTGGTAATGTTGTCCATGGTGTTCTTGTCGATGATGATGCTGATGGCGCTGGTGACACTTATCACCCTTATCTTGATGAGGGAGAGCAGAAGGAGGACAAGGAGGTGGATGAAGATGATGATGATGATGACGATGATGATGATGAAGGCGGAGACATTTCGGAAAACTGTGAGCTTCTGCTAGTCATATTGTAAAGTCTCGTGGAATGAAACTCTGCACCATGGACTCTGCAAGATGTCTGAAGGGAAATTCAGGGTTGAAGCAATCTCACGCCAGTTAGGTCGTCCTGAATGTCGCGGCCGTCGATGTCCCGCTGTGGTGCACCTGTGGCTTCCTCCTGTCCTGAACCTTTCGTCGGCGACTTGGTCTTTCCTTTTCCCTTCTGCGTGGCTTCTCCTGCGGCCTCCTTTCCTGAACCTTTCGTCGGCGACTTGCCCTTTCCTTTTCCCTTCTCGGCTTCTCTTGTGGCCTCCTTTCCTGAACCTTTCGTCAGCGACTTGCCCTTTCCCTTCTCGGCTTCTCCTGCGGCGGCCTTTCCTGAACCTTTCGTCTGCAACTTGCCCTTCCCTGTTCCTTTCTCTGCTGCTTCTGCCTTTCCGAAACCTTTTGTTGTTCCTTTTCCCTTGCCTTTGCCGGATTCCTGCCGATTAAACATAGGAGGCACAGATCATTATGTGTGCAGGAACACCTTTGCAGTTATACACTCCCCGCGACGCTCTCTGTCATCATCATTCATGAGACCGGAGAAACCCAAAGCCGCTGCCCGGCAATAACCGTCCACACCTCGTGATTGCAGAAGCAGGTCCTCTTCGTTACCTTCTTCGTCGTCTGACTCGGGTTGGAGCCCTCGTGAACCTGCCAATGATGACAGCCGAAGAGGCAGACCAAGAAAAAAATTGCTGAGATAAGTAAGCAAACCGACCACTTCCGCGAATCTTGACCACGTAGTGAAGGAGGAGCTTCGGGTCCCAAAACAACAGCCACAACCGCTATAACCGCGACCGCAACCATCACTACCACGGGATACCACGGGGACATTCATCAAAGCGGCCACCCCTTCCGTGAGCCTTGAGAAGCTGAGAATCCACGAACCGTCTCCACCCAGTTGCGGTCCCTTGGCTGTGGGACATAGAATTCGTTGAAGGTTAGATTGTGGTGCTATGTGGTTGCGTCATAGCAATGACACCACCCAGATCCCAACCCACATTCTGGAGGACTGAGAAGCTCACCACGAACGGCTGGCCGGGTGTGCTGAACTCGGGCTTAATTGCGGTAGTCATGTGATAGTTCATGGCTTGTTGAGAACACACAAGCATGAACGGGGATGCCACCTTTAAAAGCAAGTGGCAGTACTTCATATGATTGCTTCCATTAGTGCAGTTGGTTCATGTGGCTGTGATTATGCTGGTAATTTTCGCTCTCATGGGCTTTTGTGCCATGAAGCTTGGAGCGAGGGGGTGTATGTGTCCTTTGCGAAACCGTTTCTTGCAGTATGGGCCGTATGGGACTCAACTACCGCTGCTTGAGGCTCCACATGCGCTTGCTTCAGGACCTTCAGGATTGCAAACAGGATCGGGAATATGCTCTCATGATCGCTCTCGTGAGTACTGCTCGTCGTGCTGGTGTCGCTGCTGTTCTTTTTCTTGCACTAAGGGGGCCCGGGCCCTTGAGCCCCTGGTTCCGGGTCCCGGGTTCCCGGCCCCGGTTCCGGGTTGCTCCGGTCCCGGGATTGATAATTGTTGTTGCTGCTGCTGCTGGTCTTGTTGTTGCTGTTGTTGCTGTTTCTTACTTCGTTGCCATTGCTGTTGTTAACCTGGTGAGTGCGAAGCCGCGAACGTAAAAAAAAGTGGGTTATGGGTCCCGGGTGCCGGGGGGGCCCCGAGTGACTGGAGACGAGAAAAGCGATATTATGTCCAAGTCAGAGTCTAAGCTGAAGTGGTACCAACCTCAGTCACAGCTTACAGCGACAAGGATCGCAATCGGATCCTGAGTCAGAGCGGCGCCCATGGATTCTGATCTGCATCTTAATGCCGTCACTATTGCCATTCTTGCTATGACGCTTGTTCTGGTCATATTATGCCTATCTTGACTATGACTACTCTTCGTAAGACGCCCTACTAAGGCCCTACTTCCACTGTCAGTGCCTAGCTTCTTCTCTCGCGGCGGCTCCAGGGGCCAGTGGAAGAGCTCCTGCCTCTTAAGGGCTCAGGGTTTCTTTGGCTGGGAGATGACATGAGACCCAGGCCCCTGAGGGGTTTGAGGTTTGGAATTCAGCACTGTCGATTTGGGGTCGAGGTCGGGCGGGCTCCAGGATTTGTGGCACAGGGTTTTGGGTTCAGGGGTGTCAGGTTTGAAGCTTCGGATGTAGCAATCTAAAAGCTTGGTCAGCTTGGTTGTTACATCTGTAGCTGCTGGAAAAAGTCCCTCAAGAAGATCGGCCACCGCGCACGGTCCACTGCGGTGAATTATAACTGTAACATGCTCTTATAACTGTAACGTGCTCTTGTAACTACATACACGAGGCGCATATACCAAGAGCACGTACAAGTATGCAGGGCCGCCCGTACGCGTGCACCTTCTTGCCTACGTGTTTGTGTATGTGTATATATATATATACACACACATATGCGCATGAATGCATGCATGCATGCATGCATGCATTCCTGAATGCATGGATGGATGCATGGATGGATGGATGGCTGGCTATGGATGGATGGACGGAAGAACGGATGTTGCAGCCAACCCGTCTCTAGGACATGTTGTCGCGGTCGCACATGTTGATCTGCGGCTGCCGTGGTGCTCGGGGAGCAATCAGAATTGACATGAGGACCCTTGTCGACCAAGTAAAACATTCTGTGCGGCGCCCCACTGGTGGGGCTCGGCTCATGTTGTTTGTGTGCCAAGTTCCCAGCTAAGTCTGGGAAGCCTCTGCATGCTTGTTAGTTTGAAGATGCCTGGCAGCTCCAACAAACGGGTATCAACAAACGGGTAACACTACTGCACCGGCGATGTTCGGCATTACGCTTTCTGTATGTCTGTATCTCTGTATGTATGTTTACATGTTTGCATGTCTGTATGCATGAGTGCGTGTATGCATGCATGCATGTATGCTTTTCATGCGCGTATGCTCGTATGCACATATGTGTGTATGTGTTGTTCATGTGCATCTGTGTGTGTGGGTGCGTGGGTAGGGGTGTGCTTGCGTCTCTTTGTGTCTGTATTTCTGTTTGTCTGTTTGTATGTCTGTCTGTCTTTGTCTGTCTGTTTGTTTGTCTGTGTTTGTGTCTGTCTGTTTGTCTGTCTGTCTCTCTCTCTCTCTCTGTGTCCGTGTGTGTGTGTGTGTGTGACACCCTGATAACAAAGGGTACAAGCAGGGGGCCCGGAGAGCCCGAGTGAGGTCCGGGCCAACGAAGACCCTCACTCGGTGCTCGTGTAAACGTAGCTGCAGCAGTCATGAATTGTTTGATTGTTCCAAGTGATGGTAACCCTTGTCTAGCTACTCTCGCAAGAGAGTTTGCAAGTGTGTTTTCGACCGGCATTCTGTCAAAGGGCCGGGCGTAGCAACTTGATTGACTTCTTGATACAACTGATCAAGACCTTGAACGCAGCTTCTTGATTCAAAAGATCCTCGAATGCTGCTGACAAATTGAATGACTTCTTGATTCTTTTCAACTTGATTGACTTCTTGAATGACTTCTTGAATGACTTCTTGAATGATTTCTTGAATGATTTCTTGAATGATTCCTTGGTTGCATGAGGCCAGGACCCAAGCCTCAATGGGCAGGACCCTTACCCCAGACGACGCATTGCAAGAGGCCAGGACCCAAGCCTCAATGGGGCAGGACCCTTACCCCAGACGACGCGTTCTTTCAAGGGCACCATGACGTGGCTGCGCCGTTGACCTGCGAAACGTCATGGTGACCCCCAGATCACGAATTGCATGCTACTTCCCAAAATTGGGAAGTAGCTGTGTGTGTACAGCCCTAATAGCAAAGGGACCAAATCCGCAGAGGCTGGCAGGGATTTAACTTCCATCAAACTGCATGAGTTCTGTTGGCAAGGATGGAATAACTTTTCTTTCTTCGCAGCCTGGCCCAAGGCCGGTATGCGAGCATCCTTTTCGCTCGATCCATAAAAGAAGCTAAGAAGTTCCGAGAAAGCAAAGCTGACTTGGATCAGTATGCCTCTGTATATTGTGACCAACAAGGCATCAAGGTTGATGCTAACGAAAACGAATCATCTCAAAAAAGTGCCAAAATGCGGCACTTTTGTGAGTATATCTTCGACCAGTGTAAAGAATTTCAGCTGTCGGTCGGCAAGCACCGCAGGGCTGCGGCATTTCGGTAAGACCTGCGAACTGTGCTTGACCGTATTAATACGACATGCGCTGCAGGGCTGCAGCATTCTGTAAGACCTGCGAACTGCGAGCGCAGTCCTCTAACGGGGGCAGGACCCGTACCCCCGATGACGCTTTTTTCAAGGGCACCATGTCGTGGCTGCGGCTTTGACCTGCGAAACGTCATGGTGAGCCCAAACCAAGCAGGCATCAGATGGGGCTGCGGCATTGACCTGCGAACCATCGGATGACCTTCATGTTTCCACTACTCCCCAAAACTGGGGAGTAGCTGTGTGTGTGACACCCTGATAACAAAGGGTACAAGCAGGGGGTTCGGAGAGCCCGAGTGAGGTCCGGGCCAACGAAGACCCTCCCTCGGTGCTCGTGTAAACGTACCTGCAGCAGTCATGAATTGTTTGATTGTTCCAAGTGATGGTAACCCTTGTCTAGCTACTCTCGCAAGAGAGTTTGCAAGTGTGTGTGTGTGTGTGTGTGTGTGTGTGTGTGTGTGTGTGTGTGTGTGTGTGTGTGTGTGTGTGTGTGTGTGTGTGTGTGTGTGTGTGTGTGTGTGTGTGTGTGTGTGTGTGTGTCTGTGCGTGTGTCTGTGTCTCTCGCTTAGCGTGTGTCCGTGTCTGTGTCTGTGTCTTTCTCTTCTGCGTCTGCGTTTGGCTCTGGGTCCATGTCTCTGTCTGTGTCTCTATCTCTGTCTGTGCCTGCGTCTGTGTCTATGTGTGTCTCGTGTGCGTCTCTGCTTCTACTGTGTCTCTGTCACTGTGTCTGTGTCTGTTTCTGTGTCTGTTTCTGTGTCTGTGTGTGTGTGTCTCTTTGGGTGTCTCTGTGCTTGTGCTTATGCTTGTGCTTGTGTTTGTGTTGGTAGTATCCATCCGTCCATACATACGTTTATTCATTCATGTACATGACGTTATTGGAGACGGACTTTCTTCAGTCGGGCGACTCGAGGCATCTCCACCAAAGCCTGTCTGCAGAAAAGGTCTCGATCACCAATCCTTGCAACAGCGGACTGTGTGAATCAATAGGGTCTATTTAGCGTATTTAACTAAATGTTAACGTCAGACTCTTCAGAGGCTCCCAGGACACTACGTGGAACACAAGCTGAAGGCCGCCGGACCAAAAAGTAGCCAGACAGCACACCCCGAAAATCTGCACGGCATGATCCAAGGGCTTCATTGTGCACCTTTGCTATCGCCAGGTGTCGGTACGTGTCACGATCCACATCAACGGGGAAGAGATCAGCTCCTCGGATTGAGAAACAATGCTGCGAGTTGGAGAAAACCCGAAGCCCCTGAGTTTGTCCGCACGCTAGACTCCAGGAAAACCATCACTGTCACAAGCAGCCCCCGGCGCAAGTTATGCTGACTAGACTAGACAGGGTCAGAAGTCAGAAGTACAGCAGTAGTAGTTTAGTAGTAGCAGTAGTCGTGAGTGCCGCTGCGGATGAAAGCAGAAGTTGTTATTGTTGTTCTGCGTGCGGCAGTTTGCTGCTACAGCAGCCTCTGTTACTGCTACTACTGTTCGTCGCTGTAACCGATCTCTTGCAAGGCCCGGTGCCTTGAGGTGGCGCCACCATTTTCGCGGTAGGGTCCGTAAATACGAGATGCTGCTTGTAGGAGACCTGGTCTGTGGTTTAGGCCGCGAATTTCTAGGCCGAGCGTTGAGGGTCTTGGGCCATTGGAGTAACAGAGCTTGAAGTTGATGCTAAGATGAATGATGATGCCAGAGGCCCAACGATTGCCCGAGACGGTTTGGAGGCGCGAGCGCACTGTTGCGGGATAAGTCTGATTCAAGCAAAGCTGACATTCCAGCCACCAGAAGCTTCTTCTCGCCAGTGCTGAGAGCCAGCCAACCCAGAACCCAAGCTATAACCAGCGACAGCAGACTCAAGAGCTCCGTGTGGTGTCCCGTGGTCAACAGAGCACTGCTACGGCTGCTACGATCTATCTTCTTGCCTCCTGTATAAAGTTCCTTGGAAGATGCACATGTGTTCGGGGGCTGGCGGGACGAGACTGAGACGGACTTGCAGTGGAAACTTTGGTTCTCGGTCCGTCTCGGGTGCCGGAGTTCAGGTAGAAGGGCTTTGGGATAGCGGGCTCGAGTTCGCAGGGCAGGGACAAAGCGGCCAAGGTGCATAGGCGACTTGCAAACTGGCATCGGACAAGTAGGTGCACCAATCCTGGGTGTACATGCACCGCAAAAGCAACCAAGGTCATTCCACTAGCATCAGTGGAGTCAGTGGACACAAGACGACACCCAGACGACCAGGCTAAAGACACATAAGACAGAACGTTCTTGAGACTCAAATCTTGCATTGCAAGGACAAGCTCTGGTGGTGGACCTTCTGTTTGGTGTGATCTTCGGTCTAGTGAGATCCATGGGCTTGTGATATCCGCCTCATTGGAGTGGCTCCGGCACCAAAGGCAGCTGCCGAGAGTCCCGTAGTAGCCGCTTGCAGAAGGCCGCGTCCTTCCGGGGCTGATCCCGTTCGGGTAGGTTCCAGGTTGCACTGCAAGAACGAGGACAACCATGACGACGAGCTTCTTTCTCCATCGTGAACGATCTTTATCACCATCATGTCAACTACGATTACGATGCTGAAATCTGCCAGTTGCAGGCTTGTTTCGCGTGGCTCTTTCAGAACACCCCACACTGCCTTGAGGCATGCAGCGTCTGCCGCGTCTCGCACCCAACCCGAGGGTCGGAGCCTGCATCGGCTACTCGAAGGGGAGAGGGATTTTGATTCTATTTTGGGGGTTTGGCGGTGTTCGGTTCGGTAGGTTTACGGCCTCGGGTTTGCCGTGGGGAAGGGGTGAACAAGACTCTGGGTGCGGACTACTTCTAATTTTTGCGTCCTCCGGATGAACTCCTGGCGCTGCTTCGTCGATGCTCTCCACTACATGAACCAAGTCTCCCACACAGCGAGCCTCAGCACAGCCTCCCTTGCATCCAACGCAGATGCTGCTTGCCTCTGTTCTGAAAAACAGCTGCAAAGGTTTGTCCACAGCTTGCAAAACAGCTACAGAGCTCTCTAGACAACCGCTCGCGAGGACCACCCTTTGGGCCCCAAATCCGAGACAAGCCGCTGCCACAGTCTGGAGACCTGCCCTCTTGCAAAGGCCTTACAGGGTCCAGATCCCGAAGAGCGCATGCATTAGGCGGGAGAACAAGCATCGCCGTCGTGTTGTGAGCTTCTGCCAATCAACCCTCTGTCCTTGCCTCGTGGGGATAGAGGAAATCAATCATCATTGCCACATGGCGGTGGGTAAGCGGGCAAGCCTGCAGCAGTTGCGGCTTACGGGTTTTACCAGAGAAGCATCACGAAAGCCTGGCGCTCTTTCGTGGCCGGAGCGTGCCGGCCGCATTAAGAGTCCACGTGCGACAGCAATCTGAAAAGGAGCGTGCCTCAGACTCCGAGAACTAGCAAGAAATATCAAGAAATATTGTTGTCGCATCAAAAGGCAAACGACTGCGGGGGACCCCTTCACACAGACACATGTCGAAGAGATTCCTGCCAATCTTGTTCAAAATGGCTGACAGCTCCTCAAAAATTGGGCGGACTGCCTTGTTCACAGCTTCCATGGTTCGAGGCGGCGGAAGCAAGGACACTTTAGCTCGAGCTCAGCAGCTGCAACACAATCCGTCCCGATGCATCTGCATGGTGTTTCTGAAGCCGCGGCCTGAACCTCAAGTCTTCATTACGCTGCTTGGGGTAGCCACTCAGAACCTTGCTCGGCTAGGCCTGTAAACAAGTGAGGGCCTGGCAGCAGAAACGTAGGCCTTCCATCACCCTCCTCGCATCCGCTGTCCGCAGAAAAATGCAGGAGCATCGGCTCCAGGTTCGTTTCGATCAATATCCGGTAGGTAGATGTAGGTAGTCGACAGTCAGAGTCTAAGCGCCCAAGCTACATTCAGCACTTGGACTTCGGCTGCAGAGAAGCGCCCGAAACCCAAGCATATCGATACAAACCAAAAGAAAACCATTGAAGTGGCCAGCAAGCCCCCAAAAGCGCAGCAGCCCTCCCGTCCTCGGAGCAGATGCCCATTAAGACACTCAGCAAGCCGATCCTCAGCAAGATGAAAAGCAAGCTGGCGGGTTGAAGCTGGCATCGGCAACAGCAAAGGCAGAATCAGGAGCAGGGTGGCCGAAGTTATCGCAGCAACTTTGCAGGCCGAAAAAACCGAAAGAGATGGTGCGTACTCCCAGCCAGAATTGCTTCAGGTGCAAGCGCTGCCTTCAGAAAATACACCAAAACCGACATCGTCTTCCTGTTCCCATGCTGGGTGCCCACACTTTTGAGCCTGGATGCCCTTGCGCTTCTTGAGCTGAGGATCCCTCCCAGATCCATCCTGTCAAGGCTTGGCGGCCCGCGGCACATGCTGGTGTAGCCAGGATTCAGAGTACAGCGAATGGAAGCTGCCTGCCCGATCCAAAACCTGATGCAGTCTTGCTCTTACTGCACCTGGAACACTACAACCTGCAATATCTCGCACAATACACCGAAAGCATCTTACCACATTCTGTACGGTACAGATCATATTCTTGGAGAGACCCATACATTTCACGCATCTCAACGTGGTGCAGTACTTTGCGAAGCACAACAGAATAGCTTAATGCTGGAGCCTGCGCACGCGTTTATCTTTCTTAGTCAAATTACGCCACCCCAAGAGCGCTGCCGAATACTTTGTGGTAAGGCACAGGAAGTCTACCACCGTCTGGTCAATACGATGCCTCATGGCATTCCCCCTCGCATACACAGGTGCCAGAGCCTGGCACCATGCCACGTGCATAGCAGCCTCGGAGAGGTCAGAGTGCCGAGAACATCGAAACACGAAGAAAAATCGCACCCTGCAGACCGTCCTGCAGCCTTCAGACTGGCTGACTCGCTTCAGGTCTTCTGTATCGCGAGCCAGGGAAAAGCAGACTCGATGCCCCGTCCCGACTGCCCGAGCGCACTCGAAGTAGGCCCAGAGTGATGATGGTGCTGTAAGCGATCAGGGAAACGATGTCCAGCACGCCCACCTCCCACAAAAAGATCATGTACTCCCAGGCGCCCCAAAACCCTCTTCCTCTTAAACGAAGGCCTGCACTCAGACAACGGCATCATCATCAGCATCACCTGCCTTCTGTTCATGGGAGCCCTTGGCCTTGCTGAGGCTCAGCCTACCGATGTGAGCCTCTGAGCCTCACCAAGCGTATCAACAGCTCCGGGACCAAGCCGGTGGCTCAGAGCAGTACAAAGGCTAAAGACCTCGAGGGCATGAAGACTATGATGGTCCAGCTTGCTGGTGCTTCTTTTTAGAACCAAAAGGAAACCACTGAACCTGTGACCGAGAGCGAAGATTTCTTTCGCAGTGGGCCGCCTCCTGCTGGCTGACTCCTGGGGCCCAGGACGTCGGATTTGGACTCGGGTTCATCATGAGACTTGCTGCTGCACCAAATCCAGGGATCGTTCTGATTCCACGCGTAGATACGAGATATCAGATCAGGCAAAGGGAACAAAGCGGGTTTGGTACAAGAGCCGCTGAAAAGCATGATCGGCCTTTGCTACCTTACAGCGGGATACACCGTGTCGAATACACAGCTCCGGATCTTAGGCTCTGGGGTCAGAAGATTGGCGGCCAATGTGTTTTTCGAATTATCGATACCGTTTGGTTCTATCCCCCGACTGCTCGATACTTCCACGTACGACACCTGCTGTACTACATGGCGGAGAGGTAGCAACTTCGCTGACGGAAAGATTGAGGCCCACGCGGACGTGGTGGAACTCTATGACGAAGGCGGCCAGGGCCTTCCGAGCTAAGTCATGGTTCTTGTTCGGCTTTGGTTAGCGGCTTAGCGATTGGTCTGCTGGAAAGCTGCCCCCCTCCTGCTACCCCCTCTTAAGACTTTATGACCACTTACAAGCAGAACGATTTCGCTTTCGCCGGTCTGCAAGGCCTTCGAGGCTCCGGACGAAATCTTAATTGCCCGAAACCCCATGTAGAAAATGAAGCCTACGGAAGCCAAACCCCCACGAGGCGGCGCCAGCAGGAGCGAGGTGACCAGCGCCAAGCCGCAGCTCCAGGTCACCAGCAGCACCACCCTGAGTCCACGAGCCCCCCAAAGTTGCTTGTCAGGGCTTCCGGCTCGACACGACTCAGCCGGCGACACCGCCGGGAAGAGGATGCAGAAGGTTCCAGCGAACCTGGCCAGGGCAAAGCCATGCACCCTCGAAACAGCTTGGCTAGCTGCTGGCTCAAAACGACCTCGCCCAAACGACTCAGCTTCTGATGTCAAGTCCCCCGCCTTGCACTCTGCTCCACCACTGCCTGCAGGACGCGGCGAGTCGGAACAGAATGCTGCTTGCTGTTTACTTCTTGCTGGATGTGGACATTGTGCTAGGTCAGCTTCGCCGGAGTTCACTTTAACAGGAAGGCTTCGCCATCGGAACTCTCCCGGGCTCCCGAGCAGCTGTGGCGATCTGGCCTTGCTCCTGCATGCAGACAGACAGACAGGCAGAGAGAGAGAGAGAGGGTGCGTGCGCGCACATGCATGCATGCGTGCATGTATACATCGATTCGACAGGTTTGCATGAAAGGGTTCTGAGACGGGTGCTACCGTATGAATCTCCTCACTTGCTTTTCGAAGGAACTTTGTCGAGAAAGCAAGAATCCACTGTGCTTCAAGCGTCTGGACGATGTTTAGAATTCAGGGGTGGAGAGGGGCTTGCGACTCTTGTCCGAACAAAGTCTTTCCCGGGACTGTCTCGTCGGAAGTTTGCCTGCAACCCCTTGGCACCCTCATCCCAAACACTTCGACTCGATTTCTGGATACTGAACCCTGATCCCGATCCCTAAACAACGAACCCCGATCCCTGGCCCTGAACCACACAAAGCCCCGAAAACGCACGAGCCAGTCCAGAACTGCCAAGGTTGGAGGCAGCCAGGCCTGGCGAAACGATGCGGCTCTTCCGGGTTCTCGTGCTTCAGGCTTCAGGGCGCTCTCCCTGTGCACGAGCTGCTCCAACTTCATTCTCTGTGCAAGGCCTCGCCAAGGTTGCCAGAAGACCCCGCGCGCAGGCTGGCATAGTCTTGCCTTTGAGGCAGCTGTTTCGAGCCACACAACCGCAAACCCTGGTTGAGGGCACGTGGCTCGGAACCGAGGCAATGCTGATCTCGCACAGGCGCATTACATACATACATGCATGAAGGCCTTCCTACGTATACCTATGTACGTGCGTACATATATCATGTGTACATACGTACATACCTATGTGCTGCAAACATGCATGCAGGTGCGTGCAGATGTACACATACCTGGCATCTTCGACCTGCAAGTACGTCAGCCCGCCTATGATCTGGCTTACACACCTCGCCGGCTTTGCATCAGACAGCGCCTCTCTCTCCGGCACAGCAAGCTTACAACACGAGGATCCCAACACCCCCTAAATGGGTTACAACATCTCACAGGATTACCCGTCACCAGGCCCACCCCCCGTTCACGCAGCCTCTTCAGGAAGAGGGGCCCGTAAACCAAAAGCAGCACAACACATCCCGAAATCCAACCCACGTCCAGCCGAGCGGCCAGTCTTCCAGTTGCAATGCCTGGTAAGTGCCTGACTTGCGGATATCTGGCTTGGAAGCAGACGGCTTTCGGGCCTGAGGCTTCAAGGCTTGGGCCTTCGGCTCCAGGGCCTCAATTTCTGCTTTGGGGCTTCACAATTCAGGTCTCGACAAGGGAAGACAGTGCATTACTGGCCCTTTGGGAATGAGTCCATGCCCCGGCGAACTCACCAGTGCATTCATGGCTCTTTCATGACAGAGTTCTACACATGGAAATCTCAGCCTGCCACCCACACCCAAAAGGCAACACATCTCACGCGAAGCTCAGGCAGGAACCATCCGCCTCGGGCACCTTGCCACGGCACATGCGCCGCAAATTAGAGGGTTCAGAGTCTAATGTCTGTGCCAACGTGGATAGGTCCGACACAAAATGTGATCATAGGCATTGGCGTTGCAGTCGCCATTGCCGCCACCACCGTCGCCGTCATGTTGTCATCATCGGGCTAGAGGAGGACAAGGAGTAGTAAGTGGTGGAAGCAGGATTGGCTTGATCAGACATTTGGCGAGCCTGTACTTCTTCCCACTCTGCAATCTCTACTCCTGCTGGAAAAACTTGCGATATGCATTTCGCCATGCTGGGTCTCCGAGTCTCGCACCACCTCGAAGGTAAAGTAGAGGGCCGTCGCCTCAAGCTACGAGCGCTGTCTCGGGTTTCAGGGCTTTGCTTTTCTGAGATAAGGGCTTGCCTTTCAAAGCCCCAAACTTCTGGGCTTCCCACCGTACCCTCTGCAGTCAGCCAAAAGCCTCCCAGGTCCTGCAAACACCACGAAGCGCTTTGGACAAGCCGGGCCCGCAGAGTTGGGCTTGAAAGGCCGTCGAGTTTCCATTGTGCTTCGTCACCCTCAACTCGCGATTCCCTCGAGAACTGAAGCCGTAGGACGCCATATCCTAACCGCTAAGCCTACAGCCTAATCCCTATGGACTGATGCTTCATCTCCTACTACCGATCTGCGAATCCTCTGAGCCTGAGAACGACA